GTGTAGCTGTGTAGGAACCTTCAAAAGAAACAATTTGCAAAACAGCTCTTTCCTGCTGAAAATCATCCTTCAACCAGTGAGCTGTTACACTTAAAAAAGGAGAATTCTTTGTAGTTCCTGTCCAAATATCAGCGGTTAAAGAAATATATTTTGTTTCTGTTAAACACAGAAACACTTCAGCTTTTTATACAATGTCGAAGTTTCCATGCGTCAACAATTAAGTGTTGAGATTTATTTTAGAAACAAAGAAAGAGATTGTTGATTTTGGGAGGATATTCGATCGTCTCTTGTTTACCTGACCCAAGGAAGATGAAAATACCAGGTGGAGAAAAATGGGTTTTTTTCCACATTATAATTAACTGTATAATTAACTCCAGGATCTCACACAACTAATGCAATAAATTATTAACACTAATCGGCCGATTAATCGGTATCGGCCGATAATGCATGGCCGATTAATCGGTAATCGGTAATCGGCCATTTTGCTTATCGGTGCATCCTTAATTATTTTTACATCAATATAAACTAAAAAGCGATACAATAATCATTGATTAAAATAGTTTAGTCTTAAACTTAAAATAACTTCCAATTCTTTTTATTGTTGAAAGCAATTAATAAAATATAATTGCCTAAAAAGTTAATTAATTGCCTTTGTCATCATTTAATTGTCATGCCAATATCTCAATATCGAAAATGAGTTTAAATAAACTTAATAAACAGCTGTTACGGAGATTATATACAAAGTATCTTCAAAAAGTTCCCGGAATTGGTTTCTTACTCAAAAGTATGTGTACAATTGACAAATAAAGCAACGTGTTTTTCAAAGTATTGTCCTTCGGCAACCATATACTTTTGTCAATGCTGGTATAGCTGCTGAACATATTCTTGGAAACTGCGACAGAGACTGCAACGCAGATGTCGCACTCTGTATAACCTTATCCGCATTCTTGAAGTGCGATCTTTGACATTTTTCAACCGGGGGAAGAGATAGAAATCGCGAGCATTCGTGGCACCGTGTGTTGGCAAACATGGTGCATGCTCCAATGATCATGCAGGATGGAATTACAACTTCCAACCGAAATTCCTGCTGTCTTGGCGATCTTCTCAATTGACTACTGTCTGTCTGCCCTCACAATCTCGCGTAAAACCGACACTTGCTTCTTAGACGTTAATGTCAACGAACGACCACTTCGCAAATCATCAGCGATGCTTTCTCGTCCCTCACGAAAGCGTTTTACCAGTCATAAACTTGAGAATGCTTCGTGACAGATTCAACATAGGCGTTCTGAAGCATATTCAAGGTCTCAGGTTTTTTCCCTAATAATACAGAAAATTTGATATTTGCACGTTGTTCTTTCACAGACATTTTCGCCAGACTGTTTCACTAACACGACCTTCAGTAAATGGTAACTGTTGTCATCTTTGCAGTATGGATTTGTTTGAACACATTTCTCTATTCCTGACGTGTCCTTCTCTAAGACATGCATTACATGTTCCCTTTTTCATTGCCTTTAATTGACTAACCCAGCATAAATTCGGTAACTTTTTGAAGCTATCTTGTATAAATTTTTCTCTCTTTACTGAATCACCTGCTTCAAATAAGTGAAGGAGAAAACTCTCACATGTTTAAATGAAGGTGTTGTTTCTGTATTCTGCATCATCATTAGTCATTTCTCTTCTCTTCTAGTTAGCTTACATTCGAATTTATTATCATCTTTATTAAAGGGATTTCTAATTTGATACTTCAAATTATGAGATGTTAAACGAAACTATATTATCAGTTTCATCTTTACGATTTAATGCATTTTCTCTATCTTTCTCCTAATATTTTAGTAACTACTTAAACTGTTAATAAAGAAAATGCTTTATAATTTTGTCATATTTAGTGTTTAATGATTTATTATTAAAATACTTTCTACACGGGAATAATATTCAATGTTTGTGTTATTAAATAAACTTTAATAACTAAGAATATATTTAGCTTTACTATAAAATAGTATAATATTGTAAATAATGCTCTCTAGTATTATTTACAATAAGTTAGTTTGTTTAGTTCAATCTAAAGTTTATTTTTATTTATTTTATAAACAAGACTTCTTTATTATGAGATCATAAAAGTATAAAAAAATGTAATACTTCACTTATTTATAACATTTTATTATTTAAATCTGATATAAAATTATTATTTTTTTACATTTATTGGTCAACAATTTAATATAACGTACAGTACAATAAATATTAACCATACAGCAATTATATTTACTTTTACATCTTACATTACTATACATCTTTAAATATAATCTATTCAGAATGTTATTTACTAGTAACCAGAAGTGTAGACACTTTTCTTAAAAGGATATATTTGCGATAATTAAACAAGTAAATAAATAGCATTAATAAAAAAATCTTAACTTAAAATTGTTCTACACATGCTGTTTTGGTGCTAAAAAATCCAGTGTAATTAAATAATTATATTCTGAAGTTTGTTTTAAAAGACACGAGACACGAGCACCAGCAATAAGAATTTATATTTTTCCGTAATTTTAATATCACGGTATTAAAATTATTTCATAATAAAATTAGAAGTGAGAAACTAAACAATAATAGTATCAATGTAAAAAATAAAATGTAAAGTTTTTGATAATTAAAAGATCCAAATACAGTATAAACAAAAAGAGATTGATTAATCAATTATTTTAAATGATTAAATTGAAGCTAAAATAAAGAAAAACATTACTTCGAAAAAAAATAATGAGACAGATAGGAATAAAGTGTTCTAATATTACGTAAATGATTAATCATTTGGTAGAATAAAATAATTTTTTTAACTTATATTAATAAATTAAAAATATTTTTGAATGACAAAATGCAATTTTTTTTTATTTAACAAATTTCGCATTTAATCTAAATTACATTAATGTTAATATTTAGATGCACTATTCATTTTTTATTTCCCACGATTGAGTGATGCGTGATGATGTAACTCGGATAAGATTCGAGAAAACTGACCCTAATTATCCATTGTTAAATATATCAAAAACAAACAAGAAAAATTGTTTGTGGTGATTCAATTTGCAAGAATTTGCAATTGAGAGTCTCATTGATAAAAATTTTTAAAATAAATGAAACAAATGAGTAGACTATTAGGATATAATAAAATAGTATATGAATGAAATCCAAAAACATTTCTTATCGTTTAATTTATTTTTAACCTGTAATTGTATACAACAAAAATATAAATTAAAAAAGTATACACTATTTTGAATATATTATTCAGTAATAGAAATTCTAATAATCAATTTCAAACAGAATTGTGAAATATTAAATAGTTAATTGCCATATTTTTAATATTTAAATATCTACTTTTTGGATGGATTTTTAATCATTACCAGTTTTAACTTTATGATACAAAAAGTAGAAAAAGTTATATATACACAGTATGTTTGTGTATATGTAATACTTATCTTTTATAGAAAACCTTACAAAAGTGAAACCTAAAAGTAGTGAAAGGTATTCATAATTTCAGAGTATCTACACATGTGGCTACAAGTACAACAAGATTGACTTAAAAAATTGCACAGTTTATTTATAAATAATCTCTAATTTACTTGAATCCAAAAATACTTAATTTCTCATTGAAAATAAAATTTTATTATATGCAAAATAAAAAACCATATCACATTTGTAGCAAAAATGGATGGATATATTAATTTCTCTTACCAAAAATCCATTCCCACCAAGTTACAGTTTCACATTCTTTTGGATGGAATGAAGAATTATGTTTTAACCAAAAATCATTTTCTATTGTTGATATGCCAACCCATTCGGGAAGATATACCTTATCATATGTTAACTCGTGTCGAAGAAATTTCGAATTTGGAGCTAAGAAATTTGCATAATAAACAGTATCACCACCAGCTAAATAAGCTCCCCAAAATCCAAATGTTCCGTAAGTAATAATAGAATGATTGCAATGCGCAAGTAAGGCTAAGTCGTAAGCAGGTTCTGGTGGTTCTTTAGTTATTATCACATCGGGTAAATTACTAAATTGTTTAATACACCATTTTCTATCATCGCTTACTAGCAGAAAGAGTATATTTTTATATTTATTTTTAAAATATTGCATTGCTTTTAAAATATATTCTTTGTCAAATTCTTTACCACGGAAGGCCTTTAACCAGGAGCAATAATCTGTCCTTCTGATATGAACACTAATAAAAAGAGAAGTACCTCTTGTTGCACGAATATCATTAAATACATCGTAAACATATTTAATGATATTTTTTTTAAATTGAAATTCGCGTTTGATTTCATTTTGAACATGATGGTAAAATGTAAATGATGATGGATAAAGATAGCCAGTTAATATATTCTTATCACTAGGAATATTTTCGTCTTGAAGCTGAAAATAAGGACCGAGTTCATATTCCCGAGAATATTTTTGAGGTAAACTTCCTATTTCTGCTACCGATAATTCGAAATACGGAATAAGAGAGTCCATATTGCACTGTTGTCCATAAGGAATTCTTTTATTGAGGCGAGCTAGTCCATATAGAGTTGCGTATGTACCCATTTGGTTTCCCAGTCTTCCCTCGTTGCAGTGGATAGTGAGAAAATAAGGGTCCAATAAAGCCTCTGTAATAATAAAAAAAAGATTACAACTTCTATACAGTTTTTATGCAATTAAAGCTTTTCATAAAAATATACAGTATGATAATTTCAAGAATTAACACCGACATTTCTTAAAATTGAATGTAAAATTTCGCGATAATACCCTTTATTTCTACATATTGTATTGTATTAAAATTATACCAATAAATTGTTATTTCTACGTATAACTTATACAGGTTACTTCAAAAACATACTGACAAACTTCGGGAAGTTATAGAAGACACTAAAACAATTACTTTTTTGTTAATAAATCCATGTCCGCAAATGAGCTGTTTTGGCAACAGAGAAAATTTTTTGAATTTACAATTCGATAAGAATGGAGACCATGTATGTACTTCAATACAGAGATTGCATCGTCGGTTCACGGATTCATGGACCCTATGGAATATTCTTAAAATAGTTTGAATATGTGCAAAAGCGGCCACGACACTTGCCAGGTCTTCTTGACGGACGGCTTCTTGGGATACCTCTCTTCATACAAACGTGCAGCTTCTCATGAATTTGCTTCACTATAAACAAGCCAGTGTCAGCCAGTTCTTCAAAAGAAAAATTATTGTCTATTTTCAAGAATTTCGAATACGCGAATGAGTAATAAACGAAACTTGAAGATACTGAGGTTGCCAGTCGATAGTAAAAACTACTACCTTTTTGAAAATCCCCGAAGTTTCTCGGTACGTTTTTTAAACACCCTGTATATACTTATGATTCATATTTACAAATTTTTCTATACATTTTCACTATTTAAAAGTTTTAATGATATACGTTCAGTAATATGCTAAAAAATTCAACAACGAGTTGCTTAACTTTCCTGGCAACATTTGGTGAAGCCACCTGTTATGATAATTTATTAAAAATCTTTTTATATTTTTAACTATTATAAAATGGCAAAAAAGCTTAATTTTGAGGGTAGGGATGGGTTTTATAAAATATTATAAATGCTAATAGCGAGTAAAATCGGTCATTACGTCCTACTGGAGATACACACGACTCCCTTTATCTCTCCATTTCCTCGATCTTCAATCACCAAAATTTAATAGCATCAGTCATCCTAATACACAAACCTCCCTGCAAAATTTCAAATATTTTTGACATAAAGCACAGGAGTTATTAAGTTTCAAAGAGGGTAAAAAATTAGTGCCCCCACACACACACATTAACATCCATACAGAAAACTCTCCCGAATTTTTTTGTATTTCTCGACGTTTCAAAGTGTTCTGAATCCAAAAATGAAAAAATCTGAGGGGGAGTCATTTTTTGACAGATTACCATACTTTCTCTCTGTTATATATAACAGCCGGGAAAGTAAAAAATATAAACATTGCTTTAATTTCTACAGTGTGATAGTAACAATATCTAAGAAAAAAATTACAATGCAAACAGAAAAAGTTCTTCCAAAGAAATGTACAAAGTATAAGATAGTAAAAGTTATAAAGTGTAAAATGTCAATCGTTAAAAAATTTTAAAAACTAAAAATATAATAGTCGCTTTCCTAAAAAAACAAAGCTATGTATAAGGCTACTATAACACAAACAAAACCATTACTGTATAGTGCTTCTCTGATTTTCTATTATTGGCTAGAAGAGTGGCATCGTTTCGTTCAAATTAAAGTGGTCCTTCTATGTAATTTAATTTTTAAGAAGCAGGTTTATTTCTTACAGTAAATACTATATTTTCCTGTTTAGTGATAGTTTCTATATCCTTAAATTTAGCTTCAGAGATTTTCGACAGAGCGCAGTCTTAGAGATACGAAAGTTATGTCCAAGAAGAATTCTCTTTAAAGCAGAGCAATCATGTTGGATTTTACGAATCGATATGTAGACATTTAATATTTTCATGTTCAACATTTATCAAATTATAAATTTATTTTTAGTCAGCCATTTGAAGGACCTATTGCATCATTATATTAGCTTGTTTTTATAGCTAATTGAAACTTTTTAAGTGATTGTTGAATTCAATGCTCTGTAATTAATGAAAATAGAGTATCAAATTAATTGAAATAATTTACAATAATTTGTATTTTTTATATTTTAAATATTATTTCATTAAGATATTTCTTCTTCTTTAAGCTCATCTGCTTGCTTAACAATTTAGAATTGATACACAAATGATAAGGCTTTTAAATTGCAGTGTTATTAATTGTTATATCAAGACTGAAGAGGAAAGTGTATTGATATCTCTCATCGAAATGCATCCCGAAATATTTTGAAATTGTAGGAATTATTTCTTGTTAATAAAATAATTAATAATACTACAATTTATAAGCCTTATCACTGAGGTATGAAAGTCCTAAATATAAAGAAAGTGAGTTTAAACAAGAATATAAGGACACAAAGCTTACAGCAAGGTAATTTTTATTCGAAAATATTTAAATTCATATTTAAAAACAAATTTTTTCAAAAAATTTATTAAAATTTCAACTATGAAAACCTTTTAATTCTCAACAATACTCTTGTTGTTTTTTCCTATAACCGCATGTTAATGTGCTGCCATCTGTCGAGGATATATATAATTAAAATTATGAATCGTTTTTACTATTATAGTAAAATTTTAAAAATTGTTTTATACATACGATTTTATATTTAAATTATAGTAAAATGCCGACATAAATTTATGCGGAAAGTTTAGTTTATTATTGATATTTTGAAATAAAAATATTGAATGTCTTAATCGAGTCCTTGACTTCTAATTTATTTTATCGTTACCGACCAATGAGAAAAACGCCTGTTTTTTTTCTTTAATAATAATAATTATTATAATTATTAATTGTCAAGTAGACGTTCAAGTTTCGAAGACGTTAAGTAAAATCATCTAAGAACAATGAGCGAAATCAATAATAAGGTATTTTATTAAAATATTAAGGAAAACTTCCCGAAGATTGAGTTACTCAACTGAATCTAATTTATTAAGTTTTAATACCAATCGAAATTTAATTTTTTTTAAAAATATTTTAATTTGTATGTTGACAAAATTCATTTTATTATCTACTTTTTTATTTTACTGACAAATATAATTTCCTTTAAAAAATTCCTTAATATTCAATGTAAATTACAATTGTTTGACAATGAAATAAAAATTAAACATTTTTTAGTTATAGCGGAAACTTTGTGTATGAATAATGATGAAATAGAATTTTATATTCAGCAAATAATACTATTAAAGCACTATGGTGATTCTTTTAACAATTGCTGTGCTCCACTTACTGTGACTCCTGCAGGCCGTCACAAATACTTCTAAATAAAACTCCTGCCTGGGGAAGTTATTTAATAAAGGAATTAATATAATTATAAAAATTCAGTGCGAATCAACACTACACTGCACGGTGTTTCGAAGAATTGATGCTCCAACTGTTAGCCTATATCATCGCAAATGACGGAGCTTAAGCAAAAAATATACAACAAAGTATTATCAAATACTGTACTATTGTGGTGTTTCTGTGTAAACTATTAGTTAATTTACTGAAGATTTTTTGCGACTTTATGTGACTATGTATATTATGTGCTACTTTTTTATATGATGAGCTATATATATATCATATATTAAAAGATTAGTGCCGTGACAAAAGTGGCAGGCTTTATTATAAAATGATCGTTTATGTCTTTTAATTTTGCCACTCATCTTTTTATTCAATTAAGATACAAGAGTGAGATGATATCAGGGACATTCGGGAAGAAGGGAAGATCACCGGGCTCATTTGGGGTGTCAGTCTCCTCTGGTATAGGAAATCAAAGCGTAAAAAGAATGCAATTTGGAGGTGTATATTTAATTGACGAATTTGGAACTACGTCTCTTTATTTACTTAAAATGAACAAAAATGTTGTTATAAGTAACATAGAAAATAAGTTTTAAAATTAAATTTTACATTAAGTTATAAATTTAATAAAATTTAGGTTCAGAAGGATATAAAAGGATATCGTGTTCAGAAGGATATCATGTAACCTCATAATTCTCGATAATTACAAACGGAAACCAATGATATTGCACTTGTAACAAAGCTAAAGAATCACATCCAAGACCACTTTTAAAGGGAATTGGATAATCAAAAACTGTATCGACCATAGAGAACCCGGAAATTGGCTCGAGTTGAGTTTTTAAAGGGATTAACAACCAATAGGAACTAGACTGGCGTGCCTTTCAATTCGATTTGGTCTCCTACTTTTAGATTCTTTAGATCTGAATTTACATTCTCGTGTTTTATCGGTAGTGACCTGAGTGGCCAATAAAATCTGGATGGCTGGTAAATTTTCCAGAGAATATATTTGACATTTTTCATTAGAAAAGATCCTTTTAATTATCAGATAGTCTCGTATTTTCTCTCTCGCTCTCCCACCCTCCTTCCGTCCCTTACAAAAGTTTATTTTTGCAGATAAACTTTTTGCAGATAAATATATCCTTGCCAAATACATCGTAAATTGGCAAGGAATTAATTTTTCATATTCCGTAAATAAAATATGAGTTTAACGATATTTATAGAAAAGAACAAATATATAAAAGTCAGTTATAAATGAAAAATAATAATAAGCACCGGTAATTACATTAAATTACCTTAAAACAACTTCACTGTAACATCGAAGAGCGACGAAGCAATGCGTGTCTACACGTATTATTATAACCTTTCGACACTGACTATCGTATACTACTGTATCGTATCTACATTTCAGTTCTAGCCTATCAGTAGCTCACCGTATAAGGATGGACTTATACAGAGGATGTAAGTAAAAATCAGGATTTTGAGCTAAACATTTTAATATCGGTATATAACAAACAGTTCAAAGATAAGACGAAAAATAAATAAGTTATTCGATAAAGAATAGCCGAAAATATTTTTGTAAATATCCAGCTTATTCCAGCTAAGAAATATTTTTACAGATACTACAGGGATTAGTATCGATCTTCCATCCAGGTACTTTAATAATAGCATCTAAATGTTTGTAAAGATTTTACAAATCATCTTATTGTGCTGTTAT